TCTTAAATGTATCTTTGGATATGAGATTCAATATATGAGATTTAATTAATGCAAATTTCAGACTTTTTCATGTTCTATATTTAAAACAAAGCTGCTGCTGTTCATCATTCTGTTTTCATAAACCCCGCCCCCAAGGCCAGTACTCTAAGGGAAACACTTTTTTGAAGATCTTGAAAATACAATTGACTGTTAGTAACTCAGTCTAAAATGTTTGCATCTGTTCAAGCAGATGTCATATATTATATACCTCTGTATAACCATGTTAATATTTTTGTAGTACAAAGGACAGTAYACGTTTTTCTTATTTTATCAAAATTTGAACATTTTTGTTTCGGGCAGGTAACTTTTCATGTTGGGCAGGTAACATTTGTTGTCACCTGCCCGACAGGGCAGGTAAAAAAATAAAATCTTGTCGAACTCTGTTTAAGACCAACCTCACAATAAACACAAATGTGAAAAAATTATATATACAGTATATTTTACCCAAATGTTTATTTTAACGCAAAACAACTAGCTGTGGTAAATCTGGTAAATTGTTTAAAAAAATTAAATGTTACCAATTATTTTAATATTTGAGACAAATATAGTCATCCTATTTACAATGTGTTAACATTTTTAAGGCCACTGAAAGATTGATTTAAAATGGCCTTGTTTTTGGATTGATGAATTAAATGAYTTTTAAGACTTTAAGGATCCGCGGGAACCCTGGAGCAAAGAAAATGTTAAATGAGATGAGAATCTGCAGTTGGATTTAGGTTTGCTAACTTAATTCTTTCTTATTTTCAGATGTTTTCTTGATGACAGTAAGGAGTTGTTTTTCAGTATTGAGAGAATCAAAAAAATGTTTAATGGGGGCAATGTTTAAAAGTGATTGCATGCAGTTTGTGGTTTCACAGCAGCTGTGTCTAGTTGCATGTTGTAATGGAAATCATGTATTAGTTGTTTATTTTGCTCAGAGCCAAAGACATCAACACTGCAAAAAGAAAAAAATTGTATAGGTCTTCTGGACGGGTTCTTCTCT